AGAAGCAGTAGTAGTAATAGTAGTAGTAGTAGTAGTAGTAGTAGTAGTAATGGTAGTGGTAGTGGTGGTGGTAGTGGTAGTGGTAGTGGTAGTAGTAATAGAAAAACAGTAATGGTGGTAGTAGAAGTAACAGTAGTAGTAGTAGTAGTAGTAGTAGTAGTAGTAGTAGTAATAGTAGTAGCAGTAGCAGTAGCAGTAGCAATAGCAGTAGGAATAGCAGTAGGAATAGTAGCAGTTGGTAGCTGGTGATAAAAATTGAAGTAGTGTGTAAGCAAGCATGTAGACAAGCCGATAAATAAGTAGGCATGTAAAGCAAGTCTGTAAGCAATCAAGCGAGTGTGGGTAAGAGATAGGTGTGAACTTGAGAAACACGGTAAGCAAGCAACCAAAACCAGTACTACACCTGCGGCCGCCACCACTGCTCGATAATTTCTTGAAGCCCGGCATCTTCCACAGCATCCGCATGGACATTGCAGAGAATTCCAGCAGCATGGCATGATCCAGGCCCGCATACTTCACCTCTCTTTTGTTTTGGCCACTACTCGTGCAACATCTTTGGAAAGGAGAGGTGCCTCGGGAGTGTTGAAAGAAGCTTAGCTTTATGGCTTCAGTTGGTTAACAAGGTCTTCCGCATATGACCTGTGCAGAACGAATCGACGAGAAACTAAAGGAAGAATCGTAGGCAATCGTTGTGAGGTCCGATGGCTTCTGGATGCAGGATTTGCTGCTTGCGGTGCGGCTGTTTGCAGCCGCTGTTCGACCGTATCAAGTATGATGACTACAACACAATGAAACATGAGTTTGCCTTAGAAGTCCAGGCGCCAGTCTCCAACCGGCCTCGAAAATGTAAAACAACGACTTCTGGACGGGTGCTTGGCTGAAACACAAACCCTCAGAGCAACAACACAGTTACTGCGATGCGCGGCAGTGCAGAAGAACAAATGAGCGATTCTGGTGCAATTACTCGCCACAGGCGAGTAGAGATACTTACATTCGCAACATACATACAAAGACGCCGGACAAAAATAAATTGCAGGGCTTGTTCGGGTGCAACCTAGGCCCGTTCCATGTCACCGGCTATTGATGAATTGCAACTCAACAAGGTCCTGTCTGGCATCCAATCGCGATGAGAAGTCCCGAAGCGCTTAGCTGTTTGATGCATCGGGTGGGCCTTGGACCTAAAGAAGTGTCCGAAACACTAGTTCACTAGTGCTGGTCCTAGACGGCAGCAGTCAAGAAAGCTTTGTCCCCGCTCCTCCAACGGTTTGGTGAGGGTCGCATGCGTATGCCACATTACATTACGTTAGGTTAAATTACATTACATTACATTACATTACATTACATTACATTACATTACATTACATTACATCACATCACATTACATCACATCACATCACATCACATCACATTACAGTACATTACATTACATTATATTACATTACATTACATTACATTACATTACATTACATTACAGTTACGTTACATTACAAACACGATGAAACATGCAATCTAAACAGATGTATGCACATGTGCATGTATATGTGCATGTACGCATAGTACAAACATGTACGAATCAGTATTGCTTCTATGTGTAAATATGTATATGTATGTATGTATGTATATATATATATATACGTATGTCTAGAGGTATGTACAGGTTGTCGCAGGTGATCAAAAGCCTCAGCCTGCTGCCCAGTTGCATGCTCTGCATGGGTCTTGGACAATGCAGAGTGCGCCCATGAGCTCCAGTCATTCACCTGTTGCTTGGAAACCCTGACACCAACACATACCCCGTTAACTGTACTTCGGAAGCATCGCTTCATAGATGCATCCCGGCCGCTGGCATGTCGGGAACCCGGATCTCTTCCTAGCATTCTGACGGATGCTCTCTTGGTCGTGCTTTGTCGTTGCATGGGTCTCGTATGTGCTGCATTGCGCAAGTAGCCTGGCAGCGACATTGAACCAATACTACTTTTCGTGCTGCCAATGTTTCTGCCTCTGCTGCCTCTACCCGTGTTGATGCTGCTAGTGGGACGACCGACGACTAAACTACGACTGCGATACGACTACTGTAGCTTGCACGTGCTACGTACCAGTACCAATACTAGTACTAGTACTAGTACTGATACTAGTACTACTACTACTGCCACTACTGCTGCCACTACTACTACTACTACTACTACTACTACTACTAGTAATAATACCACTACCACTACCACCACCACTACCACTAGCACTACCACTACTATTATTTCTGCTGTTACTGGTATTTTTCAGCATTAAGACATGTATGTGTATATATATATATATATATTCACAACACGAAATGACACACTTGGACAACACCCTGTAAAGCCTGTGCAAAACTCATTGGGACCAGTACAAAGCGTAGGCCTGGTATGTTACACGTACCTCGCAACAAATGTGCCATCCTTATAAAGCCCTGCCTGGCTTGGATGCTTAGCTAGAAGCCGGTTGCTCAGTCCTGGTCTATGGCGCCCCTATACTCCTTATACAACTCCCTAAACACTAAATCGCAACTCTATGAAGTCCCTGCAGCCACGACGAAGCATGGCTTGACATCTAGATGCTCCCAGCAAAACCCCACGACACCACATGCAATCCGCACAAACCCCACATCAAACACGTTCAATGAAGACTTATGAACCTCGTACAATACCGCATAACAATAAGGAGCCCCCCAAACCCTATATTACAATAAGGAGCCCCCAAAACCCTATCAAAATAATTAAGGCCTCTACATTAGCCCTTGTCTTCGCCCTCAAAGATGGTAACCTCCATCATAGGATCCCTTAGAGAAACCTCAACCGCAGCATTTAAAGGACCCCTTATGTAGAGGCCTAAACAATAACCTATATCATTTTGGGGGTCCCTTATTATATCTATACTAGAAAGGACCCCCAAAACCGTATTCTAATTATTAAGGCCCTACATTAAGCCCCAAACTCCAAAGCATAAGCCCTAAACTCTAAACCCTAAGCCCTAAACCCTAAAACCTAAACTTGTTTAGGGTTTAGGGTTTAGGGGGATTCTGGCGCAACCTGGCAGGCCGTTGATCCTGTGGTACTCGGAATGACCCGGGCGAAGCAGGAACCGCTGCCGCGTCATGTAGCGTTTTAGGTGGCTTTAGATGGCTTGGTATACGTTGAACTAATTTTTTAGGGGCGTTTTGGTTGATTTTATGGGTGTGTTGGTGGTGCCTTTGTGATTTTGTAGAGTTCTACCACGTTCTTCCGTGATTTTTGTTTACGGGGGCTCGGCCTTCGCCTTTCCCCGGCAAGTACTTTGGGTTTAGGGTTGTAGGGTTGAGGGTTCTTCGGAAGCATCGGAGGCTGAGGCGATTCCCGTTGGACTTAGTCCTGAACATGCAGCATGTGGGTTTGGTTGCACTGTTATGGGACTAGAGAATAGGTTGTCCCAAAAAGCTGCGACATTTTAGGCCCTAAGCCCTAAACCCTAAACCCTAAACCGTGGTATCGGGATTGGTGGCTGAGGGTACCTGAACAGGCGGCTGTCTGGCAGAGGAGAGGTTGAGTTCCGAACCCCACACCCTAACCCCTAAACACTAAGCCCCTAAACCCTAAACCCTAAACCCTAAACCCTAACCTGTAACTCCTAAACCCTAAACCCTAAGCCCTAAACCCTAAACCCTAACCCCAAGAGTGTCGAACTCGGCAGCCCTGGAAGCCCCAAAGCGGCGTTACGCCTTAGATCGTTGATTGGAGAACTTTAAGTTTTCTGCCCTTACATACTTAATTAGTCTATCTTTTCAAAGATTGAACTTTAAGTTTTCTGCCCTTCCATACTTAGTCTATCTTTTGCGCAGATGATTTAACTTTTTGGGGGCCCCGTAGTTTTTGAAGAGGAGAGCACTGTTTGTTAGACTTCGGTGCCTGGGGGTTCCTGTCTAAGGCTGAGGGGGCTACTTGGGATCAGGGTTTAGGGTTTGGGGTTTATGAGGTTTAGGGTTCAGGCTTAGGGGGTGTAGGGCATACAAATCCCTCTGCAATTGGTTCGCAAATGTTCGATCCTCCTGGTGATTTTATGCCAGGTTAGTGTCATGCGTTCCGATCGATACGGGCCCGCGAATCTGCTGAAGGTCTGGATGGTTTTAGTCTGAGAGGATTTAGGTATCATTGGGGCTTGCAAAGAACAGGACCCTAAACCCCAAACCATAGACGGTAAGCCAGCTAAGCCAGCAAGCTTGTTGAGGGCCATAAGTAAGCACCTAAAGTTTTCAGGCTTGGAGTTTAGGAGTTCGGCGTTTGGCAGTAGTAAACGGCATAAAGTCATGAGACCACCTACCCGCGACACCCTTCTGTGACTAGAACGATAAGCCTCGCTCGGCTATTCAACCATCACGTGTCATCTCTCGCACAGGACTACATGGGCAACCAAGACATGCGCAAGGTCGCAGCCGCCGCATGGACTCAAAGACGTTTCTTAAGGCTCGGGGTGCCATCAACCCTAACCCGTGCCTTATGATAAGCATCAGCCCTCTTTGGATGACCCTCGCGGATTCCAAACCGCTTAGTGAGCCCAGTGGTATCAATGAGCTGTGAAATGGAATCGTTGGCGTTCAAAAAACCTGATAGCCGAGTCCCTAAACCCTAAACCCTAAACCCTAGTAATCTTGGGACTCTATATTGGCTTGATGCAGGTGAGTGCTACAGGGTTTCATCGGGTTTGCGAAGGGTTGTATGCGGGCTTTTGCAGCTTTTGATAATGGTAGTTCAAATAGGATCTTCTTAAGGTCAGAGACTCTTGTTCTGGGGGGGGACCACATTTATCCAGGCTTTTATCATTTAGGGGTTTCGGGTTTAGGGGTTTAGAGGTTTAAATTTAGAGGCCTATGGTTTAGGGGTTTAAGGGTTTAGGGCTTAGCCGGTCTATACCATGCTCGATGGTGTGGGGCATGCCCGAAAGCAATCGCTGACGCAGGGAGCGGCACGTGAAGCTTCGCTCTGCGGCCCAAATCCTTCGGACATAATCCTTAAACTCTTGCACACCTCAAACCATGAAACCCTGAACCCTAAACCCTAAACCTTAAACTCTTGCACACCTCAAACCCTGAACCTTCATAATTCAAGGGAAAACGAGCGTGAGCACC